ATATTCGTACTTTCCTAATTCTTGCTTGAGTGTCGTACGTAGCTTTCCTAAAAGCCTACGAGCGTCCTATTTTGGACCAACAGATTCAAATAAAAGAAATGTGATGATCGATTGTTTTGTTGTTCATAATTTTATAAGAAATTATAACATTCAACATGAGCTATTCGAGCCATGGGAAAATGAAACAATATTCAAAAATGAAGAGGAAGCGGAAGGTGAAAGAAGTGGAGAAGAAATAGATGGAACACATTGGGCACATAGAGCATACAATATATAATAAATGCCCAACATGAAATTGTTAATAGATTCATAGAAAATGTTTATATTTAATATATTTGTTAAATTATTTGCTTAGTGATATCATATTATATATCATAAATTTCCTACAATCACGATATAATTCAGAATAGCCAAAGTATGCATAATATGTTTTAAACACATATAACAGATCGAAGGGTAAATTAGGGATTTAGTACCACTCAGACTACACATTCAGCACACATGGTAAACAACATTGTATCACAGTGTCACTTAATCCAGACAGACGTTTTAATACAGACAAACGTCTTAATCACAGTGACGTACTTTGAATGAGCACCCGTCACCGCTGCACTACTCCGTTCTTTTGATTCTAATGTTGTTTTTGTGTAAATATACATTGAATAATTAATTTTATATAATATATAATATATATAGGTATTTTTTTCGAGGTGCACGGGGTCCCGGGACCCCGTGGGACCCTTGGTGGGTCCGCCTCTGCATACAATGTATCACATATTCCACATACTTCACAGAGGCATGAATCTCATGCATTTCATAATTCAATAGTATCGCAAAGGTTCCTCCTCTCACCGCGTTCCTAGAGAGGCCAATTTCCTAGTATGTTCATTCTCATAATTTTTTTTAAGAAAACATTTTGAAAATCCCCGCTTCGAGACCATAGTTTTCGTCAAAGATTTGAACAACGAAGTTTCAGCACAAGGAGAAATTCCCAGTTAGTTGGACGAGCGCAAAGGCTCAATTATGCACCAACCAGCTTAGACTGTTGTCGTCTTAGTGACAGAATTTCTCCCTACGACCTATTACCTCGTGTCCTAATCCCTTCGGAAAACTTAAGTCTCTGATACCAATTTGTAACACACCCAAATTTCTCGCCCAAAATAATACTTGAAATAATAATATATTGATAGCAACCTTGATTTATTCATTCAAAATAAATAGAGTTTTGCAGCGGAAATAACAATAACGGGAAATGGGTGTTACCGCCACACCCGACCAAACACGGCCGGATGCACATGCAACTTAGAAACAAATAAAGTGAAAGCAACATAAAATAAATGTTTATTTAAGACTAAGTTCAACTAAGGTATTTTCTAATTCGCTCTTGGGCTCGAGCAATCCATCAATCCACATAAGCACCCAACTCATCACCTGTTAAAAATTAAGGAAGGGGAGAGGAACCAGGAAAATAACAAAAATTAGCTTTAGAACTAAGTAAGTACTACCTAACCCCGTAAAATAATCAGGTTTGAACAAAAATGGGATCAAAAGCTTACTCGGTTGATTCTAGCAGGAGCAATTAGGATTTTCGGATTTCCACGGAACCAATTTGTTGTTCTACTTTGGAGAAGGAAGGTTACATCGTCTCAAGCTGTACCGCTTACATCATCACAAATTCAAAAATGACACATGGTAAACAATGTGTCACTACTGTAAAACTGACATTATAATAATGTCAATAATATGAAAAAATCTATTCCTACATACACATTCTTACACACTCACATCTGTGAAGACATTTTTTTTGCCTGTCCCAGACAAAACGTATTTGACACAAATACGTTTTGTCTGGGACAGACAAAAAAATGTCTTCACAGACGTGGGTGTGTAAAAATTTGTACACAAAGTGTGTACCCCAAGTCTGATTCCAATAATATAGAAATGATATTGTAATAATGTCAATGTCAATGCTATAAAAAATGACATTGTAATAGTGACAGTGTCAATACTGACGCAACAGACCTTCGTGTCAATGTCAATGCCATAAAAATGACATTGTTAAAAACATTGTAATTCAATATAGAATGGTGTTGTTTTTTTATTGAAAAGTACATTATTGGCGATATATTATAATGTCATTATAGGACAATATGATATACAATGTCAATACAAGATAATGTGATAGACAATGTTATTATAAGACAATGTAATTATTGATGTCATTATTTGAAAATCTATATCATTGCGTGAAACAAAACAAAATAAAAATTGTATCCAGGATTAGTCATTGATGACATTGTGATATCATGACATTATGTAATAACAATGTTAAATTATCATGTGACATTGTGATAAATAATAATGATATACATATCAAATACGAATATCAACTAATGTCATGACATTGGTAATCAGGTTGGAATCAACCGTTGTAATCAGTCACTTTGCACATCTCAACTTGTATTGTTATGTTGGAAAATAATATACTATCCTCCGTATCATATTAATTGCAATATTGGAATATATACACAATAATGTACTTTACTTTGACTACATTTTTTTGAATTACTTTGACGATATATTGTGTACTTTACTTTACACAATAATATACACTTACTAAGTTTTATAATCTGATTTTTATTTTATTTTTACTAATACATAATTAAATATAATGACGGTCAAAGTTGTGCGTTGACAAATGTGAAATGTTGACTGTTGCAACTAAAAAGAGACAAAGGAAGTATATATTAGTAAAAATGTCATATGTTAAAATCATTTAAAAATATAAAAATTTCATGAATATCATTGTAAAAACACATGACAATTCATAGCAAGCTTTGACTATAACAATGACATTTAAATAAACTAACAGTGACAGCCCCAATATTAACATGGGCTTTTGCCCTGAATATTAGTAATAAAGGGCCAATTGACAAAAAAGTGACATTTTTTTAAAAATTCCAAAAATGTGATTAATAATTAATAAGCTTAGTTATTTGCCAACTTTCATAGTGATATGCTACAGTGAAACGCTACAGTGACATGAGATACAGTGACATCCACCACCCGCCACCCACCATCTCCGACCTGTAATCGACGCTGGCCGGAGACCATCGTCGGCCGTAGTGACAATGAAGTAGTGACGCCGCCATAGTGACATCGTCACAGTGACGCCGCCACAGTGACGCCGCCACCCTCCTCTAGTGACACCCCCGCCGGCATCGCCATACCATCGACATGGCCAAACCATACTGCCCCTTCCCCTCCCATCCATGCCGCCAGCGTCACAGTGACCCAACCATCCCCAGTCGTCACCGCCAGTCACCACCACTAGCCACCCGCCCTCACCCCCAACATCCAGCCACCCCGCCCTCAGCCCCAACATCCAGCCCCCAACCTTCCTCCCATGCTACCCTTCCCCGCCCCTCTCCTCCCCCCATGTCCTTCTCCGGCCAGTTCGCACAAAACCTTAGCCATAACACAACCGGCGGCAGCGGCGGCCCCAAATCGGACCCTAACAGCAGCGGCGGCCCCAAATCGAACCCCACTTACAGCGGCGGTCCCAAATCGGACCCCACATGTAGCGGCGATCCCAAATCGGACCCCAAATCAGAGCAACGAATGACCAGCACACAACAACCTGCCCCACCCGCCTAACTTTAAACTTGCCGCCGTCCACCTGAAATCTTAGCCACAGTTGATTCGAACCGGCGATGCACAGATCTAGATCCCAAATCAGAAAGGAATAACCCGTCCACCATCACATATCTGGAGAAATAGAAGAAGATGGCGGTCGACGGCATGGGACGGAGGCGGCATGCGGTGGCGCGCAAGGCGGAGGCGTCGGTGTCCTTTCGGTGAAGAAGGAGAGGTTGGAGGCGGGTCGTCATTTTTGCTGGCTGTCGACGTCGCCATATCCGTCGTCATCCTTGGTCGTCCATAGAATCTTGGTCTGTCGCACAAACTGGGAGAAATGGAGATGGAGTCCCGCAACCGCCGGAAGAGAAACACATGAGTTGAAGGCGAATGTTTGGGGATGCTAGTTGCGTGAACACTAGTGCAGGCCGCAAGGATGGAAAGATGAAGAGACGAGTCTGGAAGTTGAAGAGAAAGGCTGGGTCCAAATGTCCAATTAACAATACACTCACTTTTTTGTCCAATCCAAAATTAGTGATATTTTTGTCTCTTGAAAGTCCCATGCTAATATTTTAGTCATTATTTCTATTATAACATTATAAGAGTAAATGGGTAAAATGAATTAACGAAATAACGATAAATAAATACTACTCCCTCCGTCCCGCTAATAATGGGACAAAAGGGAGTGACACGCAAATTAATAAAAAATGATTTATGTGGTTAATATTGAATTGATAAAGTAAGACTAAAGTAAGAATGATTTAGAGCCACACAAACTTTACCAAATTTGGTATGAGACAATCTTATTGGGACGGACCGATAAGGTAAAATGAGACAATCATAGCAGGACGGAGGTAGTAACAAAGTTGAGAGAAACAAATAGGTGGAGTTACGATTTCAAAAAGGAATGAGATCAAAAACCAAAATAAGAATAAACAACGAATAAAAAAACTAAACAAAACCCAATGTAATCACGTGGACAAACCGGATCGACCAAAAAGAAGCTACCAAAGAATAGAATAGAAAAGTGCAATTTCGAGTTGCACTGAAACGATCCAAAATACTCTTATTAAGAAAGTGGAATAAAGTGGAAATGTATGGTTGTGATTGTGTAAGAAAAAGATAAAATGAATGTGACCCACACAAATTGTCCAAAATGGGAAAGTGGGAAGTAGTTTTGGGAACAGCCCAAAAAGGAAAGTGGGAAGTATTTTTGGGAACGGAGGGAGTAGGTCTTTGGAAAAACAAAAATGAGTAAGAAAGCAGGGGAGACTTTGGAAGACAAAAATCATATTCCTTTCCTCTATTATTAATGAAAAGTGCATATAAAAAGACAAAAAGGAACCCGATTACCCAAAGAATCACCATATTCGATCAATTCAAGAATCACTCATGCGGCTTCTTCAAGTCATTCTTTAATTATTTAACCCATTCCTTAATTAGCTTTTAGTGTACTCTTTTCTATACTTAAAAATTAAAGTAAGTGAATATATCACATAGCATTATATATATAATCACAGATATCCAAGAACGAGAGCTAGAATTGTGTAAGTACCCCCATTAATTAGTTTGAAGCTAATTATATTAGTGTTCAGCCGGGCATATATAAAATATGCCTTCCTTCATCCGTTTTCCTTCCACAGTGCGGGCACGTCCCATGACAGATGAGGAGCGGGAAGAATTTGATCGGGAAATGCGTGAGGCAGGAGAAGCCATGCGTGAAGCTGGACAAGCCATGCGTGAGGCTGGAGAGAGAATGCGTCAAGTAAGGTCGTCGTCGAACGATCAAAGCATGGAGATATGGAATCATCACGATGGTGTGCAAGAAAGATCAGGAATCATCAGAATTGGGGACGGGCGGGGCGGAATTATCATTCAAGGAGACCAACTCATCTTGGATGGTTCTAGCATAATTCGACGACGGCGGCGGCCGCGACAACAGAATGATGAACCGAGACTGGTGGATTTATCTCAAAAGGAAGAAAAAAGTAGTAGCCGCCGCCGTTCGTGGTGGAATGGTTGTAATATTCTGTGAGTTGAATATTATACGGAGTATGTACCAAATATAGTACTATAGTTGAGTGCAACAAAGAAAATACTCCCTTTACAATTAAAGTCTAAAGTCTAAAGTCTTAGTTTGACTTAATTATCTATAAATATATACCTGTAAAATCTATAATAATAATTTAACATTTGAATAAAACATATTACATCCCATAATTTAATGCTCCCGCCATTAAACTTAAGAGTGATTTATATGTGTGTGAATGATCTAGAAATGGGTTTAAGCCTTAAAGGATGGGGAAGCAATGACCTATGTCTTTAAACTTAAGAGTGATTTATATGTGTGTGAATGATCTACAATTCCAAGAACATAATTGAAGTAAATTCTCTATTCTCTCGATAAAGTTTTTTAAATTCAATAGGTATCAAGCAGGGAATCGAGAGCTCCATGGGCAATCACAATAGTTTAACTTTAGTTATTGTTCCCATGTTCACTACAAAAAAACATCTGATTTGTCACGGATTTTGTCACGGACCGTAGTTCAAAAATTCCGTGACAAATGATTTTTGTCACGGACTTTGTCACGGACCAAATCCGTGACACCAGGGGCGTGACAAAGTTGTTGTCACGGACAGTAATCCGTTAGAGAGTTTGTCACGGATTTGTCACGGCCACCGTCCATGACAAAACACTTCACCGGAACTCCATCGCCTTTTATTTGTCACGGCCACAGCCGTGAATAATTTTTTTTTTTTTAAAAAAAAATTCATTATTTGTCACGGAAATATCCGTGACAAAGTTTTTGCAAATTTAAAAAAAAGTTTTCGAAATAGAGTGGACAGGTATTTGAAACGAGCTGCAAAATTCAAAATTTTTATTTTGTCACGGACATATCTGTGACAAAAAAATTTGAAAATGTTTTGAAAAATTTCGAAACAAGTGGGCGGGTACTTTAAAAATTTCGAAAATATTCAAAATTTTGAACTTGTCACGGATTTAATCCGTGACAAAGGTTTTATTTTTAAAAAAAATTACGTTATTTTCAGCGTTTTGGGTATTTTAAATCAACTTAATTTGTATTTTTGTCACGGAACCGTCCGTGACAAAAGTTTTATTTTAAAAAAAAAAATAAAAATTCAGCGCATTTTGAAAGTTTATTTTAAAATTTCAAAAGTTTATTTAATAACCATTTTATAAGCATTAAAATTTAGGCGCATTTTAAAAAATTTATACTTAATAAACATTGTTTATAATATATTAAACATATTTTGGAACCAATCAAACCATCATTATATAACACAAATAATTAATATTCGTACAGTAACTATCAAAATTTAAAAATCATTAAAATGTCAATAAACTAGTTATTACAAACCATCAACGGTCATCATAATCATCATCATCATCATCATTAGGTTCCTCGCGATGATCGGGTTGCCTTCCGTGGCCACGGCTGCCGCCACGATGGCTGCCTCGATTGCCACCACGGCTGCCAGCTCGGCTGCTGCCACGGTATGCTTGAGCTCCGGGAGTCAATAATGGGGTATCATCATAATATGCATATGGAAAATTGTTGGAGATATGGCTATAATTAGCAAAACCCCTACTGTCCATACTGTCCATATTGCCCATATTGCCCGTGAAGGGAATTTGTGGGGTAGTCTCGGGGTGCTGTATGTGCATGGATGGGCGGTAGGTGGCGTTGAACATACGCATTTGTCGTTCCATCTCTTCCAACCTTTCTCTCGTTCTTCTTGCCTCTTCATCCCGTATCCGAGCTTCTTCATCCCGCCTTCGAGCCTCTGCATCACGTTCCTCCAATTGTTTCTCGAGGCAGGTAACCCGATCATCATACGTCGAATGAGAAGATGAGCTAGCTCCTTTGGACTTCTCCAGGATCTGTAAACCTTCAAAACCCATAAGCGGCACCCGACCCTTGTAAACTCCGGTTGCCGCCGAGATGGCCTCATCATCTTGACTTTCATCACGTTTGGCATCAGAATCACCTAGCTCATCAACTCTCTTCCCCCGCTCTTCCCCATATTTTTTCTACAAGTTCAAAAATTTATTATATAAGAGATCAAGAAAATTCAAAATTTATTGAATTATTGAAGTTTCATTATTTACTTCAATTTTAGAAAGGCGGGGAGGCGGCGTTCCAACACCCTTCTTCATCCAACAATGTACCATGAGTTTCCATGGTGTGACCCTTTTTTTCACGGGTCCAGATCCTTCCTATACGAATTTCAAAGTTAATCAAAAAAATATATATACATAAAGAAATGTAATGGAAATAATTTTAATTAATTAGAGTTTACCAGATCTTTTTTATGTTGAATTTGGGGTTTGCGGCCCCCGTGCCATTGAACTTCCTTGGCTTTTTCCGAGTTCCGGTTTGCCTTGGCTGTTTCGCTTCTCATCAAAAATGCGGGATCCGTGGCCCAATGGCGGCAAATCATCTCCCACACATCATCGCCAAGGAATCTTGGCTTTCGACCGGTAGACCGGGCAGTCCTAAAGGTGGATCTCAACCACCTAGAGATCCTAGAATTGTATTCTTTGAGAATAGCTTGGTCTAGGGCAAAATGCCACCGATGGGAAGCCTTCATTAAAAACATTGATATATCATTTGTTAAATTTAAGTTATTAAAATGTAACAATTGTTTTTTTTATTTTTACCTTGAACAACCGCCACCATAGTTCACGAGTGGCCGCCGGAACCTCACCATAAGTCGACCAAAGCCCCGTGAAATGACCACAAACAATACTCTTGATTCTATTTAAGACCTCGGGATTGCTTCAAAAAAATTGATAATTGATAAAAACAATTGTATTAATTCTTAGATGTAGAGATTATACTATTTTATATTAGACAGTGTTAGTTTTTTATTAGCTATGAATTGATTGAGGTGTCACCTCAAGCGAACCGGGATTGTGGCGCTCTTCTTGAGTTGGGGGCATATATTGCACGAGATGGAGGAGGAGCATGGGAGGTTGATGCCCCATCCCCATGCATGCTGATATGAGCGTCTGATTGTTCGGAGGGAGGAGTTTGGACATGTCCGTCATGAGCATGTCCTTCATCGGCGACAAACTTTTTTTGAAATTTGTCACGGATTTGTCATGGATCCGTCCGTGACAAATGCCCGGGAGCAAAAAATGTTTTGGCCGGAGTAAAAAAGCGGTCGCCGGAGTAAATTTGTCACGGACCAAATCCGTGACAATTCTTTGTCACGGATTTTGTCACGGACCTATCCGTGACAAAACGTATTCGTGACAAATTCCAATTTTCCGTGACAAAGCCAGTGACAACTTTGTCACGGCCGTAATCCGTGAAAAAAATCCGTGACAAAACGCGAGTTTTTTTGTAGTGGTTTTAAAAGTTACTATCTTACAGAATACTTTAGAATTTAGATGTATGTTTAGGTACATTGTTCAACATGAGTTCAATGTCCTTTGAGTAATGAATGGCACCGAGGCATTGCGTGCTTGGTATTTCCATATTTGCCACACTCTATTTACAATTAAGATTACACTAAAAGTGGTTAAGAATGTTTATAATTGGACTATTTTCAGTTTCATATCAGACCAAACTTAAACATATCAAATCAGACCAGACTTAAATAAACAAGACTTGATCAGACTTGAATTTCTTAGTTATAAAATACACATGACCAGACGTTTACCGGACCATAGCAGACCAATTCAGACCAGACCGGACTTAAATAGATTAGACCAGACCAACAAACTTTAGTTCAAGTAAAAACACCCTAAATCGACAGGTTCTGTTGAAATTTGCGAAGTCCTGATTGAAGGACCCGGATTGACTAATTCTGCTAAATTATGAAAAATTATATTTAAAATACTATTGTATATTTTATTAATAAAATCAAGAAAAATTGTATGAAAAAATAACTAAAATGATCCACTATAGTATCCACGGTTGTTGTACTTAATTATTAGGTAACTGAACACGTGAAATCAAAAATTACGCGTTTAGTGAAAAAATTGACTGATAAGGTTGATAAGCTGGAAACATGATCACCAAACAGGCTCTAAATGTAGCACATTTATCATACTATTGGTGTTTTCTCTACAATCTTATAAGCATGAAAAATGTTAGGGATAAAATGGTCACAAAAAATATGTTCGTGTAACTTTACGCATCCGACTATTGTACTAAGTGCTTAATTTACTTCCTGCGTGAAATGCTATGGCAGGTTAAAGGTTGACGGAACTCCCATCTGTTAACTTTTGGATAATTATATTTCACCTTAGTTCTGAGCGACCCTCCATTTTCAATTTGTCTTCTTTTTTTCATTTCAGAAGCTCGGGCAACACAACATGGTTGATGAACGACCACTAAGAGACTCAAGAGCCCCCAATAATCTACCTATAAAACTTGAGACCTGGTATTGAACAATTCTAGATTGCTTGGCATCCTTTTGTAAGTTCTTCACCCTGGTCTAATTAAACATATGTTCCCTTAATATTTAGCTCGAGTTCATTCCTAACTACCATCGTTACTCAGTTACTCTCTGTCTTGCTCTTGTTGGTTCTTTATTTCTGTATTGTTTGTTGGATTTCAATTCACAAAATGTGGTTTCAGTCATCTACTTACAGACATACAGTCCGTTGTTGTTTATTTCATTTCATCCCTTACTTTTATTGTGATTGTTATGTGTTTGCAGGAATATCCATATGAACTCTTGTTGGTAATTAACTTTCTTATCAAGTTTGAAAACATTACTGATTGTAAGTTGTTGGATCGATCTATTATTGAAATTGAAAATGTTTTATAAGAACTCTGTGCATTGGCTCTAGATGAACATAAGTAGTATCCCTTGGTGACATTAAGTGTTCAAACATAAGTTTGTGATTGTTGTCTTCCGCTTTGTCCTTCTCAACTGACTTTTCTCAACCTTTGACGGTATTATAATTTGCAGAATTGGTTATGCAATACTTGATATGTTACAATATTACTCATACTTGATACTAATATTGAATACCTATAACATTAATAATGATGAGTTGAAAGCATTAATGTAGGAATATATATAACTTCCAAGTTTCAACTCATTATATATCATGAATAAAAGATATTTCAGTGATAGTTATTGCCTCATAATTGTCGAACAGGCAGTGCTAAATTGTTTTTGGAAATATAGAGGCACTAACTCAGTGGTTAATTCACCTCTGAATAGTGGCCCTATGACACTGCTGCAATTGCTTTTGAGGTTATACCTCCGACATTGGCCCAAAACTGTTGGGTGAATGTGATTTGGACAATGACCGCACTGCAGGGGAAGGTAAGTTTTTTGTTAGAATCTGGAATATAAATTTAATGCCTTATGTTTAGCATGCAAATGGTGAGAATGCATGGACAGGGATAGATGGGAATATTGGAGAGGTTGATGATATGAAAGAACCAAAGATATGATCTTTTGTTCTGTACTACCCTCTTTCTACTTCAGATGCTCACGACATCCTACAAAAATGAAATCCTTCTACCGAAACATTTGTTACCTTGTCTTGACTGGCTTTGTAAACATTTGAGATCTGAGATTCTTACAGTTAAAGCACAAGCTTTTAAGATTGCCATTGAAGTTGCTTGTAGCTTCTGAGAACTGATGACATTGTAAGCGGTATAAAGAAAAAGCAAACCCCTGGTGCAGGCCAGGTTCCATCAAAGCTTTTTTTGAGTATGCAAGATCCATGTGTAAGTGTTTCTTCTTTGCCGTTTGGGTGTGCTGAGTTCCATGGTCATTTATGACTTGTTGCCATTGTTTCAATCGATAATGTTCAACTGAATTGGCTTTGTTCTTTATTTCATTTCCTATTTGTATATGATCATCAATATTCTGCTAAAAGAAACTTTTTGGCTTGAAGCTCATATAGCAAAAGCCATGTGTGGAACTAACTGGAAATGTAAATGAGTTCAAACCTAGCACTCTGGCAGCTTTATTTGCAATTACAATTTTTTTAACACATTAGCAAGTGTTTTCATATCGAGCGTTCTCAATATAATTGACACTACTACACAAGAGGCTTTTCACGTCGGTTGGTTTACACCTTTAACGTCGGTTTTAGTAGTGTCATGTAAGTAGGAGACGTTATAGGTGTTTAGCTACCACGTCGGTTCGAAAACCGACGTTAAATGTTTTTAATATTTCCGAAAAGTTTATTTACAACGACGGTTTTTTAAGAAAACCGACGTGCAATGTTTTTTTAAAAATTACTGGAATTAGTTATAACGACGGTTATGTTAAACAAACCGACGTCCAATGTATTTTTAAAAAACACGGAATTTAATTATAACGACGGTTTTGGAACAAAACCGACGTGCAATGTATTTCTAAAAAATTTTTGTAACGACGGTTATCATTTAAAACCGACGTGAAATTCATTGTTTACAATTATGTAAATACTATCGTGGATATTTTTTTTTAATAAATGACAATATCATGACCTGTTTTATCGAAATCAAACACCAGTACCAACATATTGAAATATGAGTGAACAAAACCATGACAAAATCACTGTACAAAAATAATAATATAGTGAATTCCAATGTCTAATGTATCATTCAAAACGTTCAAGTGCAACTAAACTCTCAAAGTATCATCCTAAACACCAAATTATGCAAGTGTCATACGACTCATACTGTCATCATAAACTACATTTGCACAACGCTTTACACCACATCCCTCTTATAACATCCAGATCTCCTTTTGTGTATTTATCATAAGGACCAAACACCTACAAAAACAATTAAAACATCAATTACAAATTTATTTCATTTACCTTGAAGATTTACATTCATGTATGATAAAATTACCTTGCTCATGGAGTCTTTATTTGTCTTGGAAGAGATGATGTCATACATGAATCTTAACACGTAATAACCACTTTCCACATTTCCCACTTGCATCGGACACTGTTTGAAGGAGATAAACCATTAATTGATAATTATGGTGTAATTGAAATAAGTTTAATGAGCATATATATAAGCTACTTACCGGACAAATAATCCATTTTATAGTTTTGTACCGATTTGTAGAAGTTCTACCTTTGACTGCAGCTTCTTTGAATGACCTATAATTTATAGGATACATAAACTCTTCAAAAATTGGTTATAACTTTGAATTATTATTGCATGTGTTAAGTTGAAAAGTAGAAGAAAAAACTTTTTCTTGATTTATATTTTTCTCACGTGAGAAAATTATGAGTTGCAATATGTAATAGAGATGTGTCAAAAAATCTTGAATACATGTACAATCAACACTAGAAAAATAAACTATCTCAAGAAACATCAAAATTATTCAACACTAAAATATGTAAATAATAAAGTGGGAAAAATAACTAGAACAAGTAACTTACACTGCCACTATATGCTTTATATCCTTAGACGGTTGACCACCAATTGAATCAAACCAAAACGCCTCGTGCCTGTTTGGACAAATAACACACAATGTCCAATGGCAACTATGTCATCATAACAAATCATAAAAAAGAATGACAGTTCATGAACGGTAATATTTTTTTAACCATAAAAAATACTTATAGAACAGCCTATTAAGTGCATTTCATTTGCTTAAATGAAGAGACTTACCTTTCATAATATGGTGCAAGATAATACTGTTTACCTCCTTTCAGAATAACGCCAGCAAGGTATTCACATTTGTCTTCATAAGTTGTCTTATGTTGAACCATGTTTGGGCATAAGAGACCAAACTTGTTACTTGCTTTCAAGTCAAAGTGTTGATGAAGATATCTATTAAAAAAACCATTTAACACACAAAATCAGCACTATCACAATTCACAAACAACACAACTCCCTTAATTAAGAATCAATAAATCAGCAATCTCTCAAACTACATGACCCCTTAATTAAGATTGAATCGCATAAGTAGCAATATCTCAAACAACACGACCCCTTAATTAAGATTCACAAAATCAACAAGGTTACGAACAACACAACCCCTTGATCAAGTATGTCATAAATGCTTCAACATTTAAGTCTTACTCATTAACTAAATAAAGATTATTTCACGTATTCAAAGTCATCTACAATTTCAAAGTAGATAAATGAAGTAAAAAAAAACTTACATGCAAAATAACATCATTGCACTTATATCAAGAGTTTCCATCTTAAGAAATCGCACGATCTCCTCCCGATAAATATGGAATCCATATTGTTTACCAACAATGTCAACATCCATATTTATATCAATGAACTCATCGGCAGCTAATCCAATTGCCAATGTCTTAACCATATGAAACTCTCTAGACATGCCACTTACATCCACGGATGAAGGGCAGCTAGGATCCGGGGACAACGGGTTCAACAATTTTCCTTTTGATCTTCGTCGTTGTTGTACCTTGATGATTTCAAATTTAAGTACATGTAAACATATATAATAAAATTTAATATTACTAACTATTCAAAAAAGATAGATATACCACGTACCTCAATCTCAGTTCCCAATTCTACTAACTGCCTTGGCCAAGCAATAAATTGAGAAAGAGCATCATCTACTGTTTGAACCTCATCATTCGGGTAAGGTACATGTGCACCAGGAACAACGATTTTTTCAACAACAACACGCACATTATCATGAGATAGTGGTATATTGTGGAGCATTCCACCAGGCCTAAAGACTTTCCCGTATGCCACAACACGTTTAGTAGGATCATTCAGGTAGCATATACATTTTTCTCCTGTCTATATTTAGCAATTAAACATTAAGACAAGAATAACATATATAAAAAAATTATCATAATTAGTAGTAGTTGCATACCAAAGGCAACTCTTCAAACGGGTCTGAACAACTAGCTTTTCCACTTTTTGGAGGACCTGTATTAATTCCTACGGTCCGATCTGAATGAATGGACATAGGACTTGTGTTCCTTGACATCATAGTTTGCATCATTGCTTCCATTTTTGCCTCAAATGCTTTACTAACTCTGTACTTTGCTTCCGCAACCTCTCTTTTAACTATCTGTTGAACACTCTCTTCTGACACATATTTCTCATCAGATCTTGACTTTGGCCCAAAGTATTTAGTTATTGTAACTCCCCTTCCCACACCCCTAACACGACCAGGATGTTCCCTTTTCTCTAATGCTGCACTCAAAATATCATCCCTCCCAGACTCAGTGAATTCCCCCATGGATGCTTGTTGTTCAAGAACAACCTATGACAGTTTAATGAATATTAGTCAATACATTAGTATAATAATAATTTTAATAATAATAATAATAAATAATGATACATAAGATGAAGAAAAAGGAGAAACTTTATTTAAGTACTCACAATTTTTTCTGCAACGCTTCTACTTTCTTCTGTGGTAAACTTTCCATCTTTACCAACTCGACCTCCAGTCCATAATATATGTCTCGGAATGAAAGTGATAGGCATGCACACAAAAGATGGATCAGACATAGCAGCAAGTTCTTGTTCTTGTTGTTTTTTCTTTATGAGATCTTGCTCTAACTTGTAGTAACCTCCCCGAGACAATCGATTTGTGTACATATTTAAAGATTGTAGCTCTTTACCCTTCTCACTCAGTTTCTACAAAAATAAATAAACTATTAAGAAAAAATGCATATTCTAAAGTTATTTGACACAACATTAGATGTACATAAATAAACTATTAAGAAAAAATGCATATTCTAAACTTTATTTTAGTTACTGATTTACTGCCAACAATTCAATACATAGCCCTTATTAAAGCAGTATGTATATAACTTTATCTTCAGTATTAATATATCAGGGAGATCCAGCGTAATGAATTAGTGTAGTTTGAATGTGTGATATTTTAAACTTTAACTCAAGTACCTGAAACTCTGGATTGCGGCGAATTTCCACAAACTTAGCCCATTGCTCTTCAGTTATCCAATTATATATCTTTAGAGGGTCTTCATCTTGTTTTTTCCCATACACAAAGTCAGTAGTTAACATCGACTTGAAGTCTTTCCACGACTTATTGGCTATACTCATCATCTGCTGTCTAACATCCTTCGTTTTTGGGATCTCAAAAATAGACTACCATAAAAAACAATCATAGAATAAGTCAAAATTTTCATTTAATAAAAAATAAAACTTATTTCAGTGAGCAGTCATAAAACATGTAATATTATTTGAATATGATCACAAGTAAATGCAAAGGAAATATATACCACAATATCTTCCCACATAAGATCCTTCGTGGGTTTTGAAACTCGCCTCCAATCAGAAATTGTGATATCTACATTGCATCGTCCCAGTGATCCAACAAAACTGATTAGCTTGGATCTATTTGGCTCAATTGGCGTAGACCCAATAAACTTGACAAATATCTTATCAGGATTAGAGGCACGTCTTAGTAAACACTTCTTCATTATAGTGATACATCTCTTTTTACTACTTTGCGGAGCTGTAGCATTTTCGTCTTCCTGGGAATCCATTTCCTTTACAAATATGTAACTGCTGCCAAAAAATTAGAAAGTTCACAACATCTATTAGGAAAAAATAGTTCAAAAATATTTCACAACAACTGCTAGAAGATCTACACACACCTCTTATACTTCTTGATATGCTGCAATCAGAAGTTCATAAATAGCAAAAAATAAAATGTAATAGTAAATAGCAAAAGGAAAATGTAATAATAAATAGGACAACTGATGATAAACATCTATTTATAACAAATAAATAAATGTCAAAAACTCTATAAAGAACAATAACAAACTAATTAAAGAACGTAAGAAGAATGAGTATGTAGTAGCAAGAACTACTTTAAATTAAATGCTGAAAATAACTAAAGAAGAGTTTAAAGTTTTAACAATAAAGAATAGCTGAAAATTAATCCTCCCATAAGCCTTCTTGATGGTCATTTCGTATAGCATGCACTTCATCTGTCTCGCTTTCGGCGTTAACTGGTAATAAAATTGAAGAAAAAGGAGGAATCTCCTCCACATCAAAACTTCCATCTTCAACTGCATCTGCCATCATCTGCCTCTTGCCATGTAGGACAACAGACCACTTCTTATCACAGGGATCACTCACATAAAAAACTTGTTTTGCCTGAGATGTCATTATGAAACGCTCATCTTTATGACCTTCTCTACTGAGATCAACAAGCATAAAACCAAACTCATCAATCTTCACACCATGTTTGCTATCAACCCATCTGCAGCGAAACACCGGCACCCTGAACTTTGTATAGTCCATGTTCCATATTTGTTCAATGACGCCATAATACGACATTTGTGCCAATACAGGGTTTTTATCTTTAGAACTACTAAAGTACATCGCATTGGCAACCAAAGTGACCCCACTGTTCTGCATTGTACTACTTTCATCTTGTGTCTTTGTGTAAAATGAATATCCATTGCAGTCAAATCCAGCATAACATATCACCTCCATGTTAGGGCCACGAGCAAGGAAACGTATATCCCCACTAACATTATCATCGGTAAGAATTTTATTCTTGAACCAACTAATGAAAGAACGATTATGTTCATTTACAACCCACATGTTACTTTTTCGTTGATTGTTATGCCTTACTAGGTTCAAGTGCTCTTCTAAATAAGGCTCGACTTCACTCATATTGTGTAAAATATACAAATGTGCTTCCTCGATATCACCACGAGCCATAGTCACTACTTTGGCCCCCCGAGTTCCCTTCCCCTCCATTCTCTCTTCTAAACGAGATTTGGGGAGACCAATAGACCCCACCCTATTCAAGTATTCCGTACAAAACTCAACAACTTCTTCAGCAACATAACTTTCAACAATAGATGCTTCTGGCCTAAAGCGATTCCTAACATACCCTTTCAGAACTTTCATATATCGCTCAAGTGGGTACATCCATCTCAGATACGGTGGGCCACATAATTTAATCTCTCTTACCAAATGCACAACTATGTGTACCATAATATCAAAAAAGGAAGGCGGGAAGATAAGGGTGATATCTATCTAGAAATTTCCGATGGCCCAGATAAACTGTCTTTTTCCCATGTACAAGTTGTTTAAAACTTGTACCTTCTTCACATATAGGGCAGGCTTTATGCCCCTTAACACTATACCCTGATAAGTTTCCATAGGCTGGAAAATCATTGATTGTACAGAAGATCATGGCACGCAATCTAAAAAAGTCCTTCTTATACCCATCAAAGACCAAGACACCTTCATCCCATAACATTTTTAAATCCTCAATCAACGGTGCCAAAAATACATCTATATCATTACCTGGCTGTTTGGGCCCTGAGATCAGCAAGGAAAGGAATATATACTTTCGCTTCATACACAACCAAGGGGGGAGATTATAGATCACCAACATAACTGGCCATGAGCTATGTTTGCTACTAAGATTACCGTGTGGGTTTATTCCATCAGTACAGAGACCAAGCCTGAGGTTTCTTGTCTCACTACCAAATGCTGGAAATGACACATCAATTTTTTTCCATTGGGGAGAATCAGCAGGATGGCGAAGATTCCCATCAACAATCCGATCATTTGCGTGCCATGTTAAATTCTTTGCATCATTTGGATTTGAAAACATGCGCTTGAATCTCGGAATTATTGGAAGGTACCACAACACCTTAGTCGGCGGCCCTTTATTGAGCGCATCCCCATCAACATTTTGTCTTTCTTTGTACCGGGGTGCTCCACATGTGGGACATGCAAGCAAATCCTTGAACTCATTTCTAAATAAAATGCAGTCATTCGGACAAGCATGGATTTTTTTATACCCCATCCCCATTGGACACAAAATCTTTTTGGCCTCATACGTACTCTTTGGGAGCTCATTTCCCTCTGGAAGCATATCTTTTAAAATATGAAGTAATTCCGTGAAACTCTTGTCACTCCACCCATTTGCAGCTTTCAAGTCGAATAATGCCAAAACAGCAGATAACCGGGTGTATTTATTAGAGCATCCCGTCCATAAAGGTTTCTCTGCATCAGCCAATATACTATCGAACTCATGTGGCCGGTCAGTAAACTCATCGACTACATTAGAAAACATATCATGTAACCGATCGTCAACACCATCATCGTCGTCATCTTCACTCACTTTGTTGGCATCAGTGCAAGACGTACTTGATAACAATATTTCTCCGTGCCATACCCATGTTTTGTAGATCTCAAGGAAACCATTCCAAAACAAATGATCTTTTATTTGAGCATCACTCAAAATCGTAGAATTGCAACACTTCTTACAAGGACAACGAAATTTCCCGTCCTTAGTAGATGCATTTTTTTTTGCAAATTCTATAAACTGATCAACCCCATTAGCATATTCATATCCCGTACGAGGCGCCGTTATCCAACTTTTATCCATTTAATAAATCCTAAAACATATGACAAACAAATAGGATCTCACATAATCATGAAACTTTAAAAAGGAGAGGTACCTTTAAATGACAGGAAACTAAAATTTCATAATTTTACATACATAAAAGATACAAAGAAAGATAGTTTACGGTTAGGTGATAGGCAAATACATAAACATATCAAGGTGATAGGCAAAAACTAAAACAAATACATTGAAGATATTTTTAGACGCTTTGCTTGTTCTCCTTATACACTACACAAAAACACACTTATAGAGGCACATCTTTGAGGAAATTGACATATTATTGCCTCTAAATGTCATCTTTAGCATCAGATAAATTATGGTTGCCTCTAAATTTATATATTTTATGTAAATTGAGTCAACCATATTTGATGTGCCCCTAAAAAGTATTATTTGGGACAACATTATTGTGCCTGCCTCTAAAAGTTCGTTGCAAAAGTGTAATTGCCTCTAAAAAATTGCATCTAAATATAGACCCATTTGTAGAGACAACGTTTTCAGGCAATTATTATTTTGAGCCTCTAAAAGACAGTCTGTATATAACAATAACTCAAACAAGTTTACATTTAAAAATGTAACTGTATGGTAAACTAAGGGCGCACATATCTTTTTGAATTTACTTTAAAAGAGGGTTTGAACTATTTTTATATAATTTGTCTTTAATTTATTAATAAAATACGGAGTATAATGTTATTTTTCACAACTCAGCCGATTCATCTAATTAACCACATCATGCAGAACTTATGATTTTTTTTACTTGGATTGAATTTTTCTGATATAGGGTTCGGTCTCCCTCTTCTCCTTCAAGCTTCATCATCTCCTCAAATCCTTATGAACAATATTATCAATAAATGATGTATTTCCCCCTATTGTATCTGTCACTAACAGAGTACATGTGTTTCTACTTTCTAGCTCTTTGTCATGGACCCAAACAATTTTCCAGATTTTTGTATTCGTATTCACTCTTGGATGACAAAAATATAAGTAATGGTTTAAGGAGCTTGTGAAATCTTTTATTTTTAACACATTCCAGCTTCATAATTATGGGAGTTCCCTTGAAATTTTGTATAGTCCTAACTCCTGAATTGAAATAGCTTATCTGTTTTAAACTTTTGCAGCAAATCTGTCGCATTATACTTTTATTTCATTTGTTATAGGAAAAATTTAATTTTTGTATATTTTTTCTGGTTCGGTATCCTAAATCATAATGTGTACTTGCATGATGAAGAAGATAATACCATTCTAAATAAGACGACTTGCTATGACGTCGATCCACTTGATGCTAACATGGGAAGAAAAGTTAGATGATCAACACATTGGTAGCTCAAAGAGTTTTTCTCAAGTTGTAGAAGAGATGGTAATCTTAATTTCTTTTTTGTGATTTATTATATTGATTACTTATTTATCCGCTAAAACAGTACCTTTGTCATATTAGTTTGCTAATGGCGGAGTAATATCCTGACATGCTGGAAGTGGATAAGAAGAGTCATACTAGACGTGATGAAACTTTGGTGACTAATGTTGCTAAGGAAATATGGTAAATGACTAACATTCACTTGTATTCACTAAATTAATTTATCAGTTTTATCAGTGTGCTTTAACTTTTATCAGGTTGATTCTGTAACACGTTTCATAGAACTCAAACTTGATAAATATTGAAGTGTTAGCAGTGTGATCTTTGCTAATATAAAATCTCCTATGATCCCCGCAAGGAGGGCATATGTGCTGATTTTAGAATGTTTTGGGTTGATAGGATCGACCAAGGATCTGAGAAAGCTGTGAAGGAAGAGGCAGACAGGTGGCTGAGGCATGGAGGAAAGAGGTTGATCAATGGAGGAGGCATGGGGCTGCAGCACATATGCATTCACTTATGGACTGGAGGAGCAGATCAATCCTGGAATACTTTAGATTTCATTTTTACAAGAATCTAAAGATTCTTAAAACAAGAGAAAAGTAGCAGCAGTGCGCTAGTGCTTGGAAGGTCACAAGGTTGACCCAACAAAATTTCTTCCTGGATGACAAATCAATGAGATGATCCCAGGCATTGAGAATGAAATACTGAGTTACACAAGATAACAGCAGTCCAAAAGAGAAGATGATGATAGTGAGGAGCATGATGAATGATCTCTCTCAACTAATGTGTTGTCCTTAAACTTTCAGCTCTAGTTAGTTTGGTTTTACACATTTAGTAATCAGCATAATTAGTTGCAAGCCTGCAAGGTCTCTACAGACTTATGGCTAAAAACAATAAAATACATATCTCCATTGGCTGATAGGTGGCTCCTGATAAGCCTTACAAAAGCACCTATAAACCTACTTTTTTCTAGTACTGAAGAAAGGGTTCCAAAATAACAAACATAAACAGAAATAAACAGAAATAATTACAACTATATGATGCAGAATATTTTATACTTATTTGAAGCTACCAGCCAGAAAATTAAACTATTGTTAGCATATCCTTCAACTTATAGTGAAGAAGCACTCTGCACCCAACCAAAAAAAGCTTGTACAGAAGTAGAAGGAAGTTTTTTTTTCCGTCATTTTACTATGTATGGGAATTTGAAGAAAAACCCCCTATCCTTGATGCTATATACAGTAATGAAGAATTTAAAGGATCTGGGTTATCTGATCAAGATTTATGCTTTAGAAGATGGAAATGCAATGTCATTGTGGGAAATAATAGGAAATGTTTCAGTTTTAAGTGCTGAAAGATTCATCTATATTGACTGGTCACTTTTTGATGGTGTCATTGCTGACTCTCTTGAAGATAAAAGAGCCATTTCAAGCCTTATGCAGGAGCCCTTTTGCTCAGTGCCACTTATATGGATGGTTCATGAAGACACACTAGCAAATAGGCTTCAAATTTATAAGAGTATGGGGTGGGAGCATCTGATGTTCCATTGGAGGGCTGCCTTTCACAGGGCTGATGTTGTTGTATTTCCAGATTTTTCATTGCCGATGCTATATAGTGTGCTTGACACAGGAAACTTCTTTGTCATCCCTGGATCACCAAAAGATGTTTGGGCTGCTGAAAGCTACAATAGGACCCATTCCAAATCCCAGTTAAGGGAGGAATATGGTTTTGATAAAGATGACAAACTTGTTCTAGTTGTCGGAAGTTCATTCCTCTACAATAAGCTATCATGGGATTATGTTTTACCAATGCGAGAGATGGAACCTTTGCTAATAAAGTACACAGGATTGAACAATATGAGTGATAAACTAAAATTCATGTTTCTATCTGGAAACACTACTGATGGATATATTTCAGTCATGGCGAGCCACTGGGAGGCAGGTCTCTTTAACTAAAAGGGCAGAATAGGCTTTGGAAGAAACAATACATGAAAACACTAAAGGAGATGTTATATATTTTTGGGCACACTTAACTGTGGATGGTGGGCTTGCAGGAAGGAACAATGCACTCACCTTTTGGTCTATGTGCGACATTTTGGATGGAGGAAACTGCAGAAATTCCTTCCAAGATGCATTTCGCAAAATGTATGGAAGTAGAAGGAAAATTTTAGAGCAACTGAGTGGGGGCTTTCCTCCCCGATACCCGCCAAATTCAATTGTTCTTATTATATTGCACTTGACGGACTGAAAACAGATCTAATACTAATAACAAATTCTAATTTGAGAAAAAAGGTTGAGCATAACCACAAAACAAAACAAAAAAGGCTGAGCAGAATAGATGCATTTGACGAACTGAAAACAAGTCTAATACTAATAACAAATTCTAATTTGAGAAAAAAAAGAAGGATTGAGATTTAGGGTGAGTAAAAGAAGAAACCTGTTGGGGGAGACTTCTTCCAAAACCGGAATCGCCGCAGGTCCAAGAAAACTGAGAGACAAAGACGGATTGATATTTAGGGTTGACGTTAGATATTAATACAAATCGAAGTTGATGCACTAGAGAAACAATAATCAAGTCGATGATTGAAACCTGCTATCGGCCGAGAAAAACTAAGCAACGGGAACCGGCTATCATCTTCTTCGACTGTAGGCGATTGGATGTCGTCTTCGTTCGCAGGGAGAGAGGCGCGCTGGATTGGATGTCCTCTTCGTTCGCAGAGAGAGAGGCGCACTGGATTGGATGTCCTCTTCGTTCGGAGAGAGAGAGGCGCACTGGAGAATGAATTTGGGCGGTCGTAGGTTTTAATTTCTGCCCCCTTTGCTGAGAGCGTGATATTTTAAAAAACACTTATAACGTCGGTTCCACATTAACCGTCCTTAAACACTAAAAAATTAAAATACCCGCAGCACTAACGATTTAAAAAAAACACCTATCACGTCAGTTCTGATGGAACCGTCGTTATATATTTAAAAATGGCGTGTCTTTTACCACTTTCTCGTCGGTCTGGAGAGATAACCGACGTGACAGACTTTTTAACGACGGTTTTTAATAACCGACGTTATATGTGCGACGTGATATCTCCCTTTTGTAGTAGTGTGAATATGGTTCGACTTCACTTTTACCACTCACTCGGTGTAAGATGTGATTTTGTCTTGGCTTAGTGATTGCACATTTCTATTACTTTGTATGGATCATTAAAGTTTAGTACGTAGATAGGTTTAAGAGCTTAAATATATGTGTTGAACTCTTTCTTTAACCTTCACATGGCTAGATTCAATGAAACATGCTTCCGTGAACAACCAAACAGTTCTTATATTTGCTTCATTGTCTTTTTCGTTTAAGAAAAATAGAGAGAAAAGCGGTATATTATGATAAATATTAAAGATTACAAAACCTGACATGTATGCTTGTTACTCCCTCCATCACTAAAACTTTGTCATCTTTGAATTTTTTGGTCTATCATGTTCAACTTTAACCAATTATATATATTTATAGAAAGTTATTTATAATACAAAAATGATATGAAAATATTTTTTGTTAAAAGTACTTTCATAAAAATATAAAATTTATAACTTCTCAAATATTATATTAATTAAAATCATGCTCTAAACTTTATCATCATTTATTTGAAGAGTCAAACATGACAAAGTTTTAAGGGACGGAGGTAGTACTTCCTTTTATAAAGTAAAACATATTGGGCATTTATCATATCATGCGTTAGAAATTGATGATATATACTTCTTTTTAAAAACTAAATTATATTGGGCATTTATCCTACCGCGCAACGCGCGTAAAAAACTAGTATTAAAAGAAGTACCTTAAAGTCTTACAATAACCACATTATTAGTACCATATATTTTAATTTTTTTTTTTAGGAAAGGTGAATTTTATTGAAAGGGAAAAGTAAACAGTACAGAGAAAAAGAAATGAAAAAGAAAATAAAAGAAAGAAAATACAATCGAACAGAGAAAGAAAAAACTAAAACTACACCCAAGGAAATTCGCTGGCCTGAGACCTAGTAGTCATGTTGTGCCGCCTTTTATTTTTCTGAGATTTTCTGTATATTTTGATCTGCGTGTTTAGGTTTTCTGTCGGTATGTAATTTTCATAGGTGACAAACTTAGATTTCCTGCAGATTGCTCTGTTGAATTTTGATTTCTTAATTTCTTCTGGAGTTGAGATAGGGGGACGACGCTCGCTTTCAGTGGCATGTCCCAGAAAGTCGTCCGTGAAACCAGAATCATCTGAATGGTAGAAGGTATCTGATGCGTCCGAGTAAGCCTGGACAGGTAGGGGCCGCTCTACAGGAGTAAGAGATTTTAGTTTCACGGAGTATGCTTCTCTGATTTGGGATTCAAAAATAAGTTTTGAAATTGACTTTGGCTCCTCCGAAAGAATCATGGTTTCTGGTAGCCTATCCAAAGCTGTCTCCTGCACTAAATTGCTAAGTCCAACAAAATTTGAAAATATAGCCATGAAATTAATTAAATTGGAATTGACTGGGCCCATGGGGATTGTAATGAAGCTACCCTTTTCCTTAGCGATCTTCAGATACCACCCTGAATTGTTGCTATAACAGGAGACCGTGATAGAACCAAATCTTCTTTTTTCCCTATTATTATCTGATCGGAAGAGACGGTTTATAAATCGGAATATGTCGGGCGCTTGCTCTTTTTGAAGTTAATCCTGCGGAGAGATGACTTTTTAATTTCCAAAATAACAATATCATCGTTTCTAACAGCAAACTTAAATGATTTAGCCCCAATTCTGATAGAATCGAAACCATCGAGTGGGACCCTGGGTTCCGAAGAATTATCTAAGAACTATAGATAATTAGATATGATATATTAAAATATATATGATATATATATTAATATATCATATCTAATTATCTATAGTTCTTAGATACTTCGTAGTTCGTCCCCTCTAAAATTCTTAGTGCAAAATACTGATGCAAGTTTTCTCGCATTTAAAATTGATCGTAATAAAGTGGTGTAAGTACGAGTATCGTCTCCACAGGGACGGACAGAAGGGAATCAAGAATTAATTAAATTCAGCGATTAAAAATAAATAAAATAAATGCGTTATGCGAGATTGGTTGTTTGAATTGAAATTAAACTAATGCGAATGAGCGATTAAGATAAAAGGTTGGTTTCACTCTAATTAACGACAAAGAGAACAAGGATTGATTCCGGGGTAACCAGATTTCTGGCAGATCAGACTTAATTACATGAAATTAATTTAATTGAGCCTGATCGGATAGAGGAACAAAGTTTTCAAAGGAACATCAGATCGGATAGAGGAATAGAGTTGATGGGCTGAAGTTCAACCTGCTAAGTGCTAGCCAATTCTGTGACAAAGGCTACACAGTTGAATTTTCAAAGGAAAGCTGCTATGTCAAGCATGAGACAACTAAGGAAGTGGTTCTGACAGCAAGAAGGAAAATAAATATATATGTTGTTGATTGGTCTACTGCAAAAGAAGGAACTTGCCTGATAGCCAAAAGAGATTCAAAACTCAGCTAGGAATGACACAAGAAGCCGAGTCACTTGAATTTCAAAACAATCAACAAACTAGCAAGGGATCACATTGTTGATGGAGAATATGTTCAGTGCATGCCAGAAAGGAAAGCAAGTTAAAAACTCCTTCAAACCCATTGCTGGAGACCTTTCTACTAGTCCTTTGAATCTGATCCACATTGATTTATTTGGACCAGTGGAGACTTCAAGCGTTGGTGGCAAAAGATTTACAGTTGTCATGTTTGATGACTACTCAAGATATACATGGACAATCTTCTTGAAAAAGAAGAATGAAACTCTACAGAAACTACCATCTCTGTTGAAGCTACTGCAGAATGAACAGAACTTGAAGGTCAAGACCATCAGATCGGATAGAGGAACAGAGTTTGTCAACCAAGTCATAAAGGATTTCTGTGACCAGAATGGCACCATGCATCAACTCTCTGCAGCTAGAACTCCTCAACAAAATGGAGTTGCAGAAAGAAGAAATAGAACATCGAAAGAAGCTACAAGGACCATGATTGCTGAATCTGGTCTACCTCTCAGATATTGGGCTGAAGCAATCAACAATGCATGCTACACCCAGAACCGGAGCATGATTCACAAAACTCACCAGAAAACCCCTTATGAGCTCTGGAAAGGAAGAAAACCCAACATCAGCTACTTTCATGCATTTGGATGCAAGTGCTTCATTCTCAACAATGGAAAGAAACATCTTAAAGTGTTCCAGGAGAAAGCTGATGAAGGTACATTCATAGGCTACTCAAGCACAAGCAAGGCCTATAGAATACTCAACAAGAGGACCCTTCTTGTTCAAGAATCTATACATGTCAAATTTGATGATCACAACTCTGTTGGAGATATAACAGAAAATATGGAGAGAATCAATCTTGAAGAAGTTTTAGCAGGATCACCAGAAGTGGTCACACTAGAAGTGGTCTCACCAGAAGTGGTCACCAACTCTTGTCTACCAACTCACATCATAAATCCTATTCTGCAAGACAAGGAAAGTGATGAAGAATCAGAAGCTGAACAAGAGAGACCCCGATAACCTTTATCAGAACCTGATCTAACTTGGTTAAGAGACTACCCAGCAAACCAAGAAATAGGACAGATCAGAAGTGGTGTGCAAACCAGATCTGCTGCAACAAGAAGAGAAGCAATGTTTGCTTGCTACATTTCTCAGATGGAACCTATGACTGTAGAAGAAGCTCTGCAAGACTCAGATTGGATCAATGCAATGCAAGAAGAACTCACTCAATTTGAAAGGAACAAAGTATGGGAAATTGTTCCTAGGCCAAAGAACCAGAATGTCATTGGAACCGAATGGGTGTTCAAGAATAAAGCAGATGAAGAAGGCAACATTGTAAGGAATAAAGCAAGGCTGGTAGCTAAGGGATACTGCCAAGAAGAAGGAATTGATTTTGATGAGACCTTTGCACCAGTAGCCAGACTTGAAGCCATCAAAATCTTCCTTGCCTATGCTGCCCACAATGATATCAAGGTCTACCAGATGGATGTGAAGAGTGCATTTCTGAATGGAGATCTTGAAGAGGAAGTTTATGTGGAAGAGCCACCAGGTTTTGTCATTCCTACTCAATCCTCTTGTGTCTACAAGCTTAGAAAGGCCCTCTATGGTCTTAAGCAAGCTCCCAGAGCATGGTATGACATATTGTCCCTATTCCTAGTGAACCATGGGTTTACTAAGGGAAAGGTTGACAAACCTTATTTCAAATCTCTGTTGCTAACCATATTCAGCTAGTGCAAATATATGTTGATGATATTATATTTGGAAGTACTAACCCAAAATTATGCATGAAATTTTCTCAAGTTATGCAGAGTCAATTTGAAATGAGCATGATGGGAGACTCTGTTACTTCCTTGGACTTCAAGTGAAACAAGTTCCATAAGGGATCTTTATCAATCAAGGGAAGTACACCAGAGGCCTAATCAAGAAGTTTGGGATAGAAGGAAAAGCCTCAGTGAAGATTCCCATGAACACTTCTCAAGGAATTGGACTAGATGATGAAGGAAAAGATGTGGATGCAACAATGTATAGAGGAATCATTGGATCCCTTCTCTATCTAACTACAAGCAGACCAGACATATCATTCTATGTTGGAATCTATGCCAGATACCAATCAAAGCCCAAGGAGAGCCATCTAAGTGCTGCAAAGACAATCATCCGATACATCAAAGGAAATCCAAATGCAGGCCTATGGTATCCCAAGGGAGGTAACTTTGAACTAATTGGTTACTCTGACTCATATTTTGCAGGTTGGAGGTT